GGATGGCAGCCTTGTGGAGCTCATTGCTGACCCGCTTGTCACGGGTCAGGATCAGTGTGACGGCAGCGGGGATGGCCTGTAGCTTTTAAATCTCAGGCCAGTCAAGTCCCCGTGAGGCTGGGAATAAATGCACCATGTTGCACTCGTCTGGTTTCAGGTTTGCCTGTGAGTCCCCTCTGGTGTCCCATCGGCATGTGCTCAGAGGTGTTCACCTCTGCTTCTTCCGGAATTAAGTGTGTGATGACGGGGACACACACGTGGATGGGGCTTTCTTGTGGTTAGACATTGGGCTGATAAACGCAAGGTCAGCGGTTCAAAACCACCAGCCGCTCCTCAGGAGAAAGATGAGGCTTTCTACTCCTATAAAGAGTTAACGTTTCGGAAGCCCACAGGGGCAGTTCTACCGTGTCCCAAGGGGTCTCTATGAGTTGGACCCGGCTCAATGGCAGTGAGCAAGAGAGAGAAAGTGAGTGAGTGAAATTAACCTTGAGTAATGAACTGTGCCTCCAACCAGGCCTTCTCCACCTGGGCACTGTTGACATTTGGCGCGAGTCTTCCTTGGAGAGCTGGCTGTCCGGGGCACTGTAGGGTGTTCAGCAGCATCCCTGCCCCCTTCCCCCCAATACCGGCAGCGCCCTCACCCCCACCCTGCTGTGACAAGCTGGCTCCGCAAACACCGCTTTGGCAGGGAGGGGCATTGCCCTGGCGGAGAACCACTGCGTTGTAAATAAGGCATCCCGGCCATAATTTTACATCTTCTACAGAATAAGGTCAAAGTTCCCCCTGCCAGGGACAGAATGTCTCTCATTCAGTCCTTCCAACAGGAAGGTATTTCATGAACACCCCAACCCCACTCCCCTCCTCCCAGGAGATGTCGTGGGAGGAGGGCAGGATCTGGCTCCAGACCTACATTCTAGGATGAGGAGTGAGGAGTCTTGGGGTGAGGAGCCGGGTGGGGGTGCAGCTGAATAAACCAGCCCTGGTCTCTGCCCTTCTCTTAGGAGGGCCAAGCGCTGCTGGGTGCAGGTGCGCGGCGGTGGGGAGGGCTAGGGGACAAACTTGCTGCTGAGAACCTGAGCCAGGACTTTCTCTCTGCTGCCTCCATATGGCCATTAGGTAGTATTGCAGGTAATGGCTCTGGCCAGGCCCCTGGGGACTGTAGGGCCACCCACAGCAGCACTCCAGGACTTGATCTGCACACCCTGCTGGTGTGGTCTGAGCAGGGCTCTCAGAGAACAAAAACACACCCACCGGAGGCCCACTTACAGCTGGTTTCAGATAAACTACAAATAAGTAGGACAAGTGTGTCCCCAAAACTGCAAGGGATATACTTATACTAGCAAAATAAAATAAAAATTCCAATTTAACTGGGAGTCCTGTGTTTTTGTCTGCTAAGCTCTGAGCCTGTGGTTGGGTGGTAGGACAAGCCCTCTCCCCACCCATGGGCAAGAGAAGGGATGTGGGGCAAGGTGGCAAGGTGACGAGGTTTGTGGGGACGAGGACTGGTACCTGAGACAAGGTTTGGGGCCAAAAAAACATCTCTGGGCCTCCTACACACCCATCCCCTCCCGTGGTCTTGAGGGTCTGAGAGTCACACTATGGACAAGGACACTAGCTCTCACTCCCAGCTTGGGCTCACAGGCAACTTTGCACATGTGTCCTCAAAGGGGGCCCCAAGTGGGAGCCAGGGGGTCCAAGGAGGGTGACGAGGCAAGTGTGAGAGAAGGTGAGCACTGTGCCTCCAGGTCCTCCTGGCACCAAGGAAGAGGGTGGCACCAGTTATAGCAGCTACTGAACATGCTAGAATTAGAGGGCAGCCACGGAGGTGGGGTATGTGTGTGTGCATGCATCTGTGTGTGTGGATAGGCTTATGTGTATCTGTGTGTGTGGATAGGTATGTGTGTGTCTGTGTGTATAGGTGTGTGTACATGTACCTGTGTGTGTTGGTGTGTGTTTCTGTGTATATAAGTATGATCGTGTCTGTGTGTACATGTATCTGTACATGTACATGTGTAAATGTAACGGTGTGTGGATAGATGTGTGTGTCTGTGTGTATAGATATGTGTGTGCACATGTATCTGGGTGTAGGTTTGTGTGTGTATGTGTATCTTTCTTTGTATGTGTATGGATAGGTATGCGTGTGTGTATAGGTATGTGTGTACATGTATCTGTATGTGGGGTATGTGTGTGTCTAGGTACACGTGTGTGTCTGTGTGTATAGGTATGATAGTGTCTGTGTGTACATGTATCTGTGTGCGTACATGTATCTGTGTGTGTAGGTATACATATGTCTGAGTGTGTGGATAGGTATGTGTGTAGGTGTGTGTGCACATGTATCTGTGTGTGTAGGTGTGTGTACATGTACCTGTGTGTGTGAATAGGTATGTGTGTATACATATATCTGTGTATGTAGGTTTGTGTGTGTGTGTGTGGATAGGTGTGTGGATAGGTATGTGGAGGGGATGCTGGGGTGAGTTGATGTGAACATCAGTGTGTTAATGCACACAAGGGTAATTCATAAAGCATTGCTTCTAGGACTCCAGTTTATGCGGGCACAGGTGTATTCCAACCCTGGCTCATGGACGCGTGGACAGACGCAGACATTTGTCTCGGTCTCTGTTGGTTCTGTCACTCAAGCAGCCTTCTTGATGTTCTCTGTTGGCTGAGATGGCTACACAGAACTCACAGACAGCATTCCTGGGTAAAGGGCTTGCTGGGAAATGAACAGATGGCAATGCCAGTGGGAAGCGCTCAGGTTAGAGTTAGCATCAGGATGTGTTACAAAGTAACTTCAGGTCTGCGAACAGACTCCAGAGGGCACGCCACTCTGCTGGAACCCTCAACCTGAAAGCATTCGGCTCTACTTCTGTGGGTCAGTGAATCCAGCTCCCTGAAGGAGGTGCCCAGAGGCAGTAGACTCCAGTAAGGTTCAGCCGGAATGCATTCGGTGGCCCCACTTCTGTGGGTCAGCAAGCCTAACTTCCCCAATTAAGTGCCCAGAGGCACCCCACTCCACAAGCCAGCCTCCTGCACAAAAGCACTCAGCTGTCCTTACTCCATGGATTCCAGAGCCCATCCCTCTGTTCCATGCTCTGACTCCTGGTCCTGCTGCTGCCACTCTGATGCCATGGTGTCTTCTGGATCCAGGAGGGTCACTGTGCGGGAATCTCGGGTCCAAAGGATGCTCTCCATTCTGGCTCTTGCCGGTCAGGAGATGCCCCTGCCTGCTTCTCCGAGGGCTCATTTTACACACAGCAGGATGGCGCTCCAAGGAATCCTGTCTAATTACTCACAGGTGAATCCTATCAGTTTCTTCTCCCAACTTCTAAGCCAGATTCAAGCAGGAAAAGGTCATTTGGTGACAGCTGGAGACTTGGTGTACAAGAGCACTTGGTGTAAAAGAATCCACTTCCCCTGCAGTAACACACTTGTCTCAGCCCCATAAAACAATGATGATAGTAATAATAAATAGTTTTTGTGCTGCCAGGGTGCGAGGATTGATGTTGAGGTCAGGGCTAATATCAAATCTTCAGCAGAAAAGTAGATGTCTCCCCGTCATTGAAGCCTTGGAACGGCCTTTGAAAGACGCTACCCACCAGGAAACAAGAGTTTCCACTGGCTCAAATGTGTTCAGGAAGTCGAAGGAGGCTCTCAAAAATGAGCAAAGAGAGGGCAGGCGGGCCAGAGGAACAGAGAATGAAGTCTAGAAACCGGCGGAAGAAAGACCAAAGCGTCCCCATCTATGTGTTGGGGTCTCACACTTTTGACTGTAAGACATCTGCCCAGTCGGTGCCAGGGTTAACAGGAAGGGCTGATCTTCCCCTGGTCTTTTAAGCAAGATGGAAACCGGTGAGGACAACGTCCTGGGATGAGTCCATCGAGCTGAGTCTTGGCTTTCCCACGACGCTGCAGAGAGCAAGGTCCAAGCAAAAGAGTCGCTCCGAGGACGTCTGCCGGTCCGGTCCAATTCGACGCAGAAGCCAGCCCAGCAGGTTATGGTGACTGTCGTGTGGAATTCCCAAGGAGCCAACTGGGTGGATTTTCCCAAAGGACACAGGACGGTCCTGAGGGCTTCTTTTGAAGGTGTTTGGGGGCAACTGGAAGGCTGCATCGGTGAGAAAAAGGTGAGGGATTCTTTCCACCCCCACAAGTGTACCTGCTCCTACCTCCACGCCGGAATTCTGCACGCCCACCTCCATTTCTGAGCTTGCTCCTTCAGGCGGCTTTCTGTGCCCCAAACTCAACACTTCAAAGGGACGTGATCTGAGCCCCTTGAGGCTGTCAGAGCTGTCATTTTGACACGGGGGTTCTTTAGCACGTGTGCAATAATTCTTTAGGGGAAAGAAGGGTTCGAGAGATGGAAATACCTCTTACAGAAACGTATAGCCCTCAGTGGTGGATACAATGGGAAATGGTCCCTTCCCGTTCAGATGTTTTTGTTTACGAAAGTCACCCTGGTGTTGCAGCCCCACGTTTTTCATTCACCCTCGTACATGAATGTGTCTGGCCGTGTATGCGCTGTGAGCACACCGGGGTCGGTGACAGGGTGGGAGCACGTGCAGTACGGAGTGTGTGAGCAGGAATGTTGAATGTGCATGCGTGTGCGTGTGCGTGCGTGTGTGTCTGGGTGTGCCTGTGCGTGCGTGTGTGTCTGGGTGTGCCTGTGCATACGAAGAGGATTCAAACGTTCCTGGAAAAACTACGTTAGAAGGTCATGAAACGATACCGTGAATTTGTGGAAGAATTGGTGCAGTACATTATCATGCTGGCGAAGAATATTGAAAGGACCCTAAACGGCACAAAGATCAAACAGACCCGTATCGGAAGCAGTGCAGCTACAATGCTCCTTAGAAGCTAGGATGGCGAGTCTTCATCTCACCTACCTTGGACATGGTATCGGAAGAGACCAGTCAGTGGAGGACAGCATGCTTGGGAACATAGAGGGGCGGCGAAACAGAGGCAGGCCCTCGGCGAGACGGACTGACACAGTGGCTGCAACGATGGGCTTCAACACGACCTGGCAAGGCTGGCACAGCACCAGGCAGCCTTTCCTTCTGCCCTGCCTCGGGGCGCTGTGGGTGGGGGTGACTCGATGGCACCTAACCACAACAACATATATGTGCACGTGTGGGAACGAGTGCATGACTACATGTGTGTACGACTGCGTGTGTGGATCTGAGTGTGCAGACTGAGTGTGTATGAGTATGAGTGTCCAGTGTGAATGTGTGGGGTTTGTGTGTGGATGCTTGAGTGTGCATGTGTGTGTTTATGGCTGTGAGTGTGTCTGTGTGTGAGTGTGCATGTGACTGTGGGTCCCTGTGTGTAAGTGTGTCAGAGAGGTTGGGCAAGGTTTTATTTGCTTTTCTCTAACCCTGTGCAGTTCTCAGAGATCTGTAAGTGGGCTGGGGAGAGGCTGAGTGGCCAATTGTTGGAAGAGGCATGCAGTGAACGTGTTTCACAGCTCTGTTTGTATGGTGGTGGGCAGCGATGGCAGGTAGTGTGTTTACACAGGGTTGGCTCCTGCTGATGATGGAGATAGAGAGAGGAGGCTGGAGGCCACACCTGAGGCCCTGATGGGACTACTTGTTCCCTGGTGTTTGCAGTTAGTGGCTGACAGCCTGCCGGCAGGCCTAAAGAACAGAGGCCGCAGGGAGCAGTGCATGGGGGCAGGAGGGGTTCTGTGGGTCCAGCTTAGGGAGCTCAGGCATCCCAGGTAGGGGTGGGGTGGGGAGAGACAGGTGAGGGCAGAGCAGGCGGAAAGTCACTGCTCACAGACATAAAGCAGTCCCTCAGAG